CTTCTATACAAACTTAGCCGTGCAGGAGTGCGGGGTAAGCTTCTGATGTGGATTCGGAGCTTTTTAATCGGCCGCTCTCAAGCCGTCCACGTCGGTGACCAACAATCTGCCGAGGTTGCCGTTAAGAGTGGTGTTCCCCAAGGCTCTGTTCTTGGCCCTACACTGTTCCTCGTATACGTCAATGACTGCGCAAACGAACTGAATTGCGATGTCGCAATGTTTGCTGATGACATAAAGATCTGGACTACTATACGAAACGAAGTTGACGAGGCGCGACTGCAGACAAGTCTGGACCACCTCGAGCAATGGTCGAAAGACTGGCTTCTACCGTTCAACGTAAACAAGTGTACTTTCCTACGCGTCGGCAGAACCAGTTATCCTATCCACACGGTCTACCGTTTGACTGGCAAACCACTGCAAGAAGTCGACGCCCAGAAGGACTTGGGTGTATGGATCACAACCTCGCTTAAGCCTTCGCTGCAATGTTCAAAGGTGGCCATGTCGGCGATGTCCATGCTATACCTTGTCAAACGGGCGTTCTCCTCCTTTGATGAAGACTGCTTCGCCAAGGTCTTTCAAACTTTTGTGCGACCGCATCTGGAGTTTGCTATCCAAGCATGGCGACCCTGGACCGCTAAAGACTTGGGCATACTCGAAAAAGTTCAACGGCGAGCAACGAAACTTGTATCTGGGCAGTGGTCACTACCCTACGAAACGCGATTAGCTAATCTTGACCTCTTTCCTTTGAGTTACAGACAGCTACGTGGGAACCTGATACAAGCTTTCCGCATCGTGCGCAATCAGGGCTGCTGCCTCGCGTTTGGAGACTTCTTCGAGTTGGCGACTACGACTAACCTGAGAGGCCATCCACTCAAACTGCGTGTGGCTGGTGTCCGGCTAGACACCCGAAAATTCTTCTTCACCAACAGAGTGGTTGCAGCTTGGAATGCCTTGCCTGAGGATGTTGTTATGTCAGGCTCGGTAGATACTTTTAAATGGAGACTAGATCAGCATTGTAGCGCGCACCACAATAACGCCGGACTACGGACACCTTGACAGCCAACACGGACAATTTAGTGTTATAATGATGCTACTACCAACATTATGTTATTTATTAAGCCTGGGCCACGTCGCACACCGCTGTTCGCATTCACCACGATGCCTGTAGACTAAACAATTTTACTTCTTTTCCCGTGTCTTAAGTGTGCCTCAACTGTCCGCTGTATTTCGACCAACAAAGCAAGTTAATGTGCCTCTAAACTCTGTTAAAGCATGACATTCTGTGTTCATCTGTACAGTTTTTGCTATTCCCCTCGCATTTCTTTCATGTTACTTCCTTTCCATTTCCTCCATATATATCCTCTGCATGTAACCAATAGGGATTTCAAAGGTACACACCTAATTTCCCTGAAATATACTGATACTGATACTGATACAACCAAACGTTTAATCAAGCCCAATGCCACCTCAGACCCGTAATTGATTTCGCATTCGGATGCCACCAGCACTCTTGTTCCATATATTGATAAGGCAATGTAGCGCATACAGGAAATTTCGGTGGCACCTGGGACCGATGACCACATTATCAGCATCCGACGCATGCCAGCCCCAACGCGTCCATCCATGACCACTGACCATGACTGCGAACGACTGCGCACTTAACACCGCAACAGAACCGGATATGTGATGGAGCCTGAACCTTTTCCCAGACGGCTGTGCAAATCCGTGCTGACCATCAGCACGGATAAACCGGGGGCCATGTATCAGCCGTCACTCCACACTGAATTCAACGTTCCTCGCATCACTGTCAACGGCACCCAACTGAAGCAGTGCTCTTAAGTAGCAGTAAACTCGGCTATGAAGCCGCACAATGGGTCTTTAAATCCAGCCAGGCATCCAACCGGCTGCAGTAGTCAGCGCGGAATCGCGACGGCCTTCATCTGAACACCAAACTCAAGATGTACAGTGCGATGTACGGGACGGAGATCTGGATTGTCTACGTGAACCAAGCGCAGAAGCTCGATCACTTCCGCCTCAGATCTCTCGGGAAAATACCAGATCTGAGGTGGCCGGACAGGATCCCGTACACGAAAATCCTGGAACGGACCAGAATCAGCGGCTGAGGCAACTGCAACTACAATAGAGCGGCCACATCGTAAAGATAGACAAAAACAGTCCACCCAAGTGACTATTGTACAGGGATGTTGTTACTTATGATCTCGACAGGGAGGACAGGCATGCTGTCACAAGAAAATTCTGAAGAGTTCTCTGGGACATTTTCAAATCAACTCGAAGATTTGGGAACACTTTATCCAGGACTGATAGGCCTGGAGAATAGCAGTGAGGATTGGAGCAGCATTATATGAAGCCACGCACGTAGCCGTTGCTAAAATGTCCCCAATATACGAGATCGTCGTGGGTAAAACTCATATATTGTTTACTTAAACTACTTACATTCCAGAAGCATTCAAGAGGTCAAACTTGAAAGATAGGTCAGGTCGGCAGAAGTTAGAAAACGTCTTTAAGAATGTCTTCATGACAGCAAAAGATAGGCAACAAAAGGGGTCGCAGTAAAGCCTCCTGCAACAGACTGAAAAACGATAATTGTTGTTAAAGCATGAACCTGTATACTGTGTTCGTTGCAATATGTTATTTTCTAAAAGCCTGAACGAACAATTACCGTTTTGGTATCTGTGGACTTGTAGTGACATTTAAGTCCGTTTTGTTTTAATCAGTTACAATACGCTTTGACACAACTTTGAATAAGAAAAAGAACACGCACGTACACTTTTACCTGCTGACGACTTTGTTCTTATTTACTAGTTTGTATTTGTTGGGATAATGCTATTTTCGTTTACCGGATAGCCTACTCGCTGTGCCCAACTAGTGGGTTTGTCTCTTACACTGGTGATCCTGTATCGTTCATAGCTCCTTCTGTTTAATTTCTATGCATAACTATTTCAATTCGGATTAATCCTCACTCTAATTTTTATCGATCAGCTTATTCATCTAGCCCTTATTTGCTATCCACACTGTCTCACCCTTTCATCCTATACGAGCGCTACCCTTCAGTCTCACCGTCAACGCGCCAGTCCTCTACCCCATTTATCTGACCTCTGATCGACCTCGGCTAATTATGTCCAACGATTCTACCAGCCAGCCGATAGCCGGTATTTACACCTTTGACCTGCCATCCGTGTGGCTCGGTGACATCGCGCTGTGGCTGCGCACTGTAGAGTCCCGTTTCGCCCTCCGTCAGATCACACGAGAGGATACGAAAGTTCACTATATTGTGGCAGCACTCCCAATGGACATCGCCACCTACCTCCGTGACATCATAGATTGCCCGCCCACAGAAGCCCCTTATACTGCCCTAAAGGAGGCTCTCATTTCCCGCATTTCCCTCTCAACGCAAAAACGTCTCCAACGTCTAATTTCTGAGGAGGACCTCGGTGACAGGAAGCCTACGCAGCTTCTTAGGCGTTTGGAGCAGTTGGCAGACGGACAAAAGCTGGATGCCACCATGTTTATGCAACTTTTCCTCCAACGGTTGCCTCCTTCTGTGCAAGCCATCCTTGCGCCTAACATTCCTTCATCGACTGTTCAGATGCTCGCGGAGACTGCTGACCGTAGACTCGAGTACTACCTGCCTCCTGTTACGGTTAACGTCGCTAGTCGAAGCACAACTGCCCCCACAATCGAGGATGTCGTCAAACGCCTGGATGCCCTCACTCACGAAGTTTCCCAGCTCCGGGCCACTCGTGTCTATAACCCTCGTAGTCCTGCAATTTCTCGCCGCCCGAGATCTCCCACTCCAAACAAACCTACAGCTGATGGTTTCTGTTGGTATCATCACAATTATGGTTCTAACGCCCATCGCAGCCACGCTCCGTGCAAGTATAAAACACCCGCGTCGGAAAACTCCCCTGCCGACCAGTAAGGGCGACGAACGTGGTCGGCACATCCTCTCCAAGTCGCTTACTCCACATCTATGACAGGACATCCTGTCGCAATTTTCTCGTGGATACTGGTGCAGAGATCAGTCTAATCCCACCCACATTGACTGACCGTAAGTCACCAAATTCTTCATTTTTCCTCCAAGCAGCTAACAATAATTCTATTAAAACTTTTGGTCAACGATCCCGAACACTAGAATTGGGTCTAAGACGTTCATTTCGTTGGCAATTTACTATTGCTGATGTCCATACTGCCATTATCGACGTTGATTTTATATCCTTTTTTCGGTCTCCTCGTTGATATTAAGTACCATAGATTATTTGATCATAAGACATCTTTACATTGTAATTGTTCCACTCGTACCCTTTCATCACCTAATCCACGCATTTCAACAATCCCTTCGTTTACTCCCTATCATCGTTTACTTTCGGAATTCCCATCTATCACACGATATTCACAATTTAACCAACCTATCAAGCATTCTGTTGTACATTATATTTCAACTACTGGACCACCCGTGTTTAGCCGTCCCCGTCGTTTAGCCGCCGATAAGTTAGCCATAGCCAAGGCTGAATTCAGTCACATGATGGAGCTAGGCATAGCTAGGCCTTCCGCTAATACATGGGCTGCACCTCTACATATGGTGTGCAAAAAGTCTCTCGTTGACTGGCGCCCATGCGGGGATTACCGAAGGTTAAACACCCGTACTGTGCCTGACAGGTATCCACTTCCCCATCTCCACGATTTTTCATCTAGCCTAGCTGGAGCAACAATATTTTCCAACATTGACTTAGTGAAAGCTTTCCATCAGATACCCGTTGCTCCAGAAGACGTTCCCAAAACGGCGATTACAACACCGTTCGGTCTGTTCGAGTTTGTCAGGATGCCTTTTGGGCTACGCAACTCCGCTCAAACTTTTCAACGTTTCATCAACGAAGCCCTCCGCGATCTACCTTTCGTTTCTGCCTACGTCGACGGTGTTCTGGTAGCAAGTTCCAGTGAACACGAGCACCTACAACATTTGCGTCTCATTTTTGAACGATTAAGCCAATTTGGCATTTTCATCAATGTTTCTAAATGCGTTTTTGGCGCACAGTCGCTGTTTTTCCTAGGACATCGCGTAGATGCTTTTGGTTGTCATCCCATAGATGCCAAAGTTTCAGCTATTCGCGATTTCCCTACTCCCACTTCTTTTCAACAACTGCGCCGTTTTTTAGGCCTTGTCAATTTCTATCGACGTTTCACCCCTCATTGTGCTCATTTAATGCCACCACTTACGAACCTTTTACGCGGAAACAACCGTGAGTTTTCTTTTCCTGACACAGCTGTAGAGGCTTTCAATCGTGCGAGGAAGGCTCTTGCGGATACAACTGTCCTTGTTCACCCTATACCTGATGCCCCACTTTCCATTGAGGCCGACGCCTCTAATTTCTCTATAGGTGCTGCCCTTCAGCAACAGACGCCCACTGGCACCCAGCCCTTGGCTTTCTACTCTGCCAAATTGGCACCCCCACAAACTCGCTATAGCACTTTTGGTAGAGAACTTCTTGCAATTTATTTAGCCATTAAGCATTTTCTTAATTATATTGGGGGCCGAGATTTTTGTATTTATACTGACCACAAGCCTCTTACTTATGCCCTCTCTACTTCTTCTGACAAGTATTCACCCCGCGAGGCCCGCCATCTCGATTTTATTTCTCAGTATACCACTGACATTCGATTTCTTAAAGGCCTTTATAATCAAGTTGCTGACTGTCTTTTTCGGCCTGACATTAATGTCATCACCCGCCCTTCCATCGATTTGGAGCGCATGGCAGAACAGCAAAATCAGCCGACTTTCAGTGAGAGCCTTCAACACACTAGTCTTCAACTCGAAGCCATTCCTCTTTCCACCACCCCCGGTACAATCTTGTGTAACGTATCGCTCGGTGCCTCCCGACCCGTAGTGCCAAGCGAGATGAGACGAGATGTTTTTGTCGCGTTGCACAATCCAGCTCACCCTGGCATCCGCACTACCCCGCGCCTCGTCAGCGAGCGGTTCGTTTGGCCAAGCATGAACACTGATATCCGCCAGTGGACCCGTTCATGTTTGGCCTGTCAGAAGGCCAAAGTCGGACGGCAAAAAAGCCCCCATTGGCACTTTTCTCGCACCCGACGCACGCTTTTCCTATGTCCATATCGATCTGGTAGGCCCCTTTCCAACATCTCGTGGTTGCAACTACTTACTTACTGCGATTGACCGATTTACTCGTTGGCCCATTGCAACTCCCATACCTAACATAACTGCCGATTCCGTTGCTCATGCTTTTTTGGAACACTGGATCTCTCACTATGGCGTCCCCTCAACTATTACCCCCGATCGAGGTCAACAATTCGAGTCTAGACTTTTTAACAGCCTTACCAACCTCCTCGGATGTTCTCGCATACGCACGACAGCATACCACCCCTCATCCAACGGCTTAGTCGAGCGTTTCCACCGGCAACTCAAAGCCTCGCTCCGAGCTCATGACAACCTTTCCCATTGGAGCGAGCATCTGCCTTTGGTCATGCTCGGTATCCTTACCGCACTCAAGTCGGACTTGGAGTGTTCCGCTGCCGAACTTGTCTACGGTACCACCCTACGGATTCCTGGGGATTTTTTCGGGTACTCTCAAAGCTCAGGCGACTTGGATCCCAGCGATTATGTGCAAAGATTGCTCCAAGCCACGAATCATCTTCGAGCCACTCCTCCACGTCCTTCATCAAGTAAGTCGTACGTCGACCCGAACTTACTAACGTGTCCCTTTGTATTTGTCCGCATAGACAGCGTTTGCCAGCCACTACAACAGCCCTATGACGGCCCATTTCGAGTACTATCGCGTAAGGACAAGCATTTTACAATTGACCGTGGAGGCCGCACCGACGTGGTCTCAATCGATCGCTTGAAGGCGGCTTATACCGAGCCTCTTTCAACTTCTCCAACTGAACAACCTCCACTTGGCACATTGCCACTTGCTATTTCCCAGACTCCATTTACGCCCAATAATCCCGCGTCTTCCCTTATCCCACAGACTCCTCCCATTACGCGCATCGGTCGTCATGTCCGTTTTCCCGACCGTTACCAACTTGTACAATATGCATAACAATCCCACATTTTCCTTCTATTAACAATAATTTTTTTGAACTCCGTTCTCCTAGGAGGGGGAGTATTGTAGTGTCATTTAAGTCCGTTTTGTTTTAATCAGTTACAATACGCTTTGACACAGCTTTGAATAAGAAAAAGAACACGCACGTACACTTTTACCTGCTGACGACTTGGTTCTTATTTATTAGTTTGTAACTGTTAGGATACTGCTATTTTCGTTTACCGGATAGCCTACTCGCTGTGCCCAACTAGTGGGTTTGTCTCTTACAGGCTTGTGAACTACCTGCATGTAGTGTAGGGGTGTCCAGTTGTGCATCCACGTGATGGTCGTACTAGGTCGCTCACTTGCTTGCAGATGCAGACTACATCTAACGTCCATTAACTGGCACCCAACTCTCCCATATGGCTCCCCAAAGATAGGCTATGCCTAGCGGCCACACCTTGGTAACCGCCTCGACAGGTGGGCTAAATCAGGTGAGGGTATCCGTGAGTGCATATCTGCACATGGTAACTTGGCCCCGCCCCCACCATCGGTGGCCGGATGGATCACCGCCTCGACTTCTCTGGGATAAGGCTCCGTCTGCGACCCCGCAGGAGGCAACAAGCACTCACTAAGCTACTGACCCAGTGACTGCAAGACCGCCCCCTTACTTGTTTTTTGCACCTATTCCCCACTCTCCTCCTCTGTCCCTCACGCACTCTACTCCACTCTAGTCTCTTACCCCACTGTCGGAAGTCCCATGCATCACCACCTCCGAGATGGACCTTCGTCCGCAATCCCGCTGGCGGCCCCAAGGAGCGTGAGCCCCCAGGTAAGCCGAATATCGCTCTGTTGGCCTTGTTTTTAACTGGGGCTTTTTTGTCTGCTTGCCTGTTTGTCCGTTTTGTAAGCTAAATGCCGTTCTATTGAATTTTTACGCTCACCGTTTATATTTCAGCAACCATTTAACTTAGAGAAGGATGGGAAACGCTGCTTTCCGGCCCTCTTCTCTTCCCCCATCCCTCCTCTTCCCCGTCAAAAAATCCTACGGCGAGAGCGACAGCGATCACGTAGGCGGTCCAGGCTAACTCGGGTCGTTCTTCCTCTAAACACAAGAGTCGTGGCTCAGTGGAGTTCGGCAGTCTTCTGATATTACTGAGCAACCCTATTTGGGGAGAGCACTGCTCAGCCCCGCTAGCGGTAACGGGCTAGAAAAGGTTCATTAAACAAATGCTGGGATCCACGTCGTCTGCAGGCTGACCGTGGCCGCAGACGCATAACACACGGTCAAAAGAACCACGTCAGAAACAATACCCTCTCTTCCCTCTCCTCCTCCTCCTCCTCCTCCTCCTCCTCCTCTTTCATTGCCTAAACATCCGCTAGGGTGGCTCCTGTACCCCCACCACTGCGCACAATCTGGACACACCAACAAACATCTACCTTCCCACCGTTAACGCCAGCGATGTGAACTCGATCCACACCTGTCCTCATTGTGACCGCGCCCCCATCTCACACATTAGCCTGACCGGCCACTTGAAATCCATCGCGCAGAGAATGGCGAACCAGTGCCTGGAGCACTCGCCACATTCACTTCCAATGTCCACACGACCACCGCACATTCATTCATCGCATGGGCCTTTTCGGTCACATGCGTATTCCCGAGAGCGGAATAGACCGCGGTCTCAACACACCTAGCACATCATGCACACACACACCATGTCTAACTCAACCCACACCCCGCCGCCCAGCACGCCTACCACCATCAACCCCACCACACGGCGCATCTTGCACACCCACGATGCCTGGCCAAACATACATCCCGTCGCCCAGCGCGTCAACCAGCAGCAGCTCCACCACCGTCACCATCCCCGAAACCGAC